CTCCAAATGATGTGACAGATTTTGAAGATCACTCATGGAAGGCCTCAACCTCCCTGGGAAGGAGAAAGAGGATGAGATAGGGGGTTGGTGAGGGCCAAGAGAGGAGGGGAGGGAAAGGGAACTGGAATTGACATGTAAAACAAGATTGATTTTAATTTAAATAAAAAAAGAAGGATACACTATTGACATCAACAACATAAATCAGCATACAGTAAATTATGCAAGGAAAAAAAGCTGTACAGAAGTCACATACTGCCCAATACCATCTATGTGGCCCTTTTGAAAAGGTAAAAATTTAAAAATAGAAAACAGTTGACTGAGGTAGAGTAAGATTGGCTATAGGAAATACAAGGAGTTTTCAGGAATGATTGTTGTTAATATATTGGTGGTGGTGTTTATGTGACCACACATACTTAGGGATACAAGTTAAATGACCTGGGGTTATTTTTGCAAACCACATTTTAATATTAAAATTAAATAAAACATGCTATTTGAGGAAAATTAGAACATTATATACAAAGGGTTCTCATTTGGGATAAAAAGGTAAGCCCATTAAAATAGCTCAGAATGCCTTTCTGGAACTCTTGTTTCATCTATTGCTTTTCTTCCCATACATTGGTCTTTGGCAATGATGCTGGACACTTTGTGCCCCTAAACCTATTCAGTATGGTTCCCGGTCAGAGTCTTTACACTGTGGTTCCTTTTACTTCAGAACTTAACTTTGCAAATAACATATACATAATCACCTCTGATCTATTCCCCCTTCCTCTGTGGTATTTTTCATTAAAATATGTATTTTGTGTATATATTAATTTGTTTTAATAGCAATCTTTTCTACCAAGAGTGGGCAAATTTTTTTATAGATTTGATTACAGCCTTCATCATATGATTCTAACACAGTGCATAAAGTATAACAGCTCTCACTGACACCTATTTAATAAATGGATTTAGTGTGATGAAATAGAGGTTACTCAGTGAGCTTCATTTAATACCATTCACATCATTTTATGATAGGCTAAAGCTGATTTCACCATAATTTTATTTTATTTTATTTAGTTCTACTTTTATGAAAAGTAGGCAAGTAATGACACAAGTAATTACTTGAAATATGTTTAAAAGAAAGCATTAACAATTTTTCTAGGCTAACACAAATCAAATCAGATTTAGCAAATAAATTTTATAAGAAGTGGAAAAAATGAATGTCTCTTTGACATCTGGATTCTGACCCTCAGAGAGAGGAACAGCGCCTTCTTCCCCTTGCTATGGTCACTCCATGTACAAGTTAAAGGAAATCAAATGATTTCCACTGCCTAGCCTTATATAAAGTACAGAGTTACATATGTAGCCAAATTATTCACTATTAAAGTAATGAATTTTAAGGCTTTTGACTTGAAAATCATAAAAAACTTACATTTTTTACTGTAATACTTAGTTATAAATATAGATATATTTCATAGTATTTATATTTATCCTCAAACCACAAAAATTGTCTGTGCAAATAACCCAATACCATTCCTAGAATTCTGATAATTTTGTTAGAACAAATTTTGACTGGTTTCTTTTTTTTCTTAATAACTAGTAAGCTACTGGATACAATTTAAATTAGAGAAAATATAACAAAAAGATTCAACAAAATGTATGTTCTAGAAATTTCTTTCAGTTGAAAACATGTCTATGAGAAAACATACAAATCAAATTCCATTTAGGACAGTTTAGTTTTAATACTAAAGCAGCAAAGGTAGGATACAATAAAATTTCTATGTATCTACTACTGATCATCAAAAGCTGTGTATAAAAGAAAAATGTAAATTTTAGCTTCTCTCTTCACTGCCTACATTATAACATAATTGTCCAGCTAATTTTTTTTATATATATTCAAACCTTCCCTGCCTGTCTACATATCTTGTTTGCAAGTATTTTCCTACTGTAAAGTTGTGATATTTATCCATCATAATAGCATTCTTATGAGATGGCATCGGTGAATATTCATCATGATTTTTCACAAGTCTTCTGTATAGCTTTGTTGTTGGTATAATAAAAATGCCAGAGGTTGGATACATATAAAGAAAAGAGACTCATTCAGAGTACAGTTTTTGGAAGGTAAAAGTCACCCTTCCCATCTGTCTGTTCTGATGAGGCTCCTGTGCTACCTTGTGACATGGTAGAAAAGCGAAAAGCAGGGAAATTGTGAGCAGAAGAAATCAAACACCACGTGGGTTTCCTCTGTAAGAACACATTCATGCTTTTCATTGCTAATCTGTGCTTCTGGGAACTAGAAATTGCATGAACATCATTAGCCATGACTACTGTCTTTGTAGTCTGCTCACTTACCCCTGGGTCTTACCTCCTGATTGCTCTACCATCTCCTACCACTACCAAACTAGGGCCAGCTCCTAGTCCCCAAAGCACTGAGAGAGATCTTTAAACCAAGTCTAGATGAAAGCAGTCTCTGTACACGCAAGTGCAGTAGGGAAGCTAGAACATTCACTTGTACCTCAGGTGCACCCGGTCATTTCTTGCTCTAGTCTTTTTAAAATCACCTCTCCATTTGGACTGTCTACTCACCAATCTTCCACAAACTCTTTCTGCAAATGCCCCCATCAGTTGCCTTATAAAAGCTTTCCTGTTTTAATCAAGTCTGATTTCCATCTTCCCTGTGAATGGTTACAGAATTTACCCATTCTGTTCACCACTCATCAGCCTTAAGGTTTTATTGTTTATATTCAGGCATGTGTTCTGATCTGTCCTTAGGGTTCTAACAGGGTACTCCCTCAGCTGCAGGCACTAAAAGCACCACCTGTGCAATTCACTATGTTACCTTTCAAAAGGGCCCTATCTACCTCCCATCCTTCTCTCTCTTTCTTTCTCTCCCTCTCTCTGTCTGTCTGTCTCCCCTTCTTCTCTCTCCCTCTCTCCTCCTCTTTTCTATGTCCTTTGGTGATCTTGTCTCTGGAGCCTGGTCTCCCTCTTCCCTTTTCCTTTTCTATGATCCCTTTCAATAATAATAATAATAATAATAATAATAAACTCTGCTTGAACCCTGTCTCATGGCATCTTTCTCTTGAGTGTTGCTTTTCTTAAATTGGAACACTTATTGTACTCATTCCTGTTTTCTCTTGGTTCTTTCTACAGGTTCACCTCTCTTTGATTTTTTTTTTTGACCAGTCTGAGAGTGAGTTCTACTCACATGTACTGCAATCAGTAGCATAGACACTTCTATAAAATGGCTTTTTAGGTTCTGAAGCCACCTATGTATTGAGAAAGGTACTATGGAATCAGAGTTGTCAGCCTGCCCTTCAACCCAAGCCCAGATATCCTCAGATGTCTCCTTGAGGAGTTTCCCAAAGACATTCCACAATTGTTAGAAGACAATTATCCCCCTTTTTAAAATCCTCCCTTAAATCTCTGGACAGCATGGGAAATCATCTCATCTTAAGAACTGGACTAGAGAAAGGAGAAGATAAGTGAAACATGTTTTTGCTGACGTGGCCTTTATCAAGGACATGAATGACTTGGGTCAAATTTTGTAAGTTTTCTACCACTGCATTTCATTGGTTTAAATAACATCAATCTTGCTTTTTGTAGATGGGCACTGACTCAGTCTTGCTGAAAAGTACAGAAACTGATGAGAAGAACACTTTCCAAACAGATAACTGGGCTCCTATTCCCTTTGTTTTTCTGAGGGCACTGGGTTCAGTCACTCACCTTTTCTTGTAGCTTAAAAAATTACTTTGTCTCCAGACCAGAGTCTGCCATGGAATCTAGGCAAGTGACCCACATGCCAAGCACCATGGGACTCAGTATACTGAATGGGCAGGGATACATTTGGGTGGGGGTGGAGGTTTTTATTGAACATCCATTTAAAGGTAGTATTTAAATATTGATATACTGTAATCATGATATGTATGTGCAGTTGTGCTTTTATTTCACATAAAAACTCATCATAGAAATTTAATTGGGTTCGTTTTTTAAAGTATGAATTGAGAGTCAAATGAGAGGTGTTGGAAGGGGGAGGAAGGGTTGGAATGGATCTAAATTGAGTACTCCTATGAAATTTCAAATAAAAACAGTAAAATAAATAATTATGGAAGGAGTATTAAAATTCAGAGCAGTTCACATATGAGCTACAAAGCTTCACAAGCTATTGTTTAGTGGAAATCAGACGCCGCACACACACACTGTTTCCCCGTCTTCATCTGCCCATAATTCCTAAGTGGAAATCCCATCTCTTCATGTGTCAGTTCAAAGGTGGATTTAAAAAAGGTCTCTAGATAGAAAAATAACTCTCCACCTACTATTCTCTCTTTCATGCTGTTAAAAAAAATCCAGAAGTGATTTTAGAGCTATATGTGAATATTAAAAACTACAGCTTTTAAAATGTACAATATAGCTTTATAGGTTATGCATATAAATAGTATTATTTGGGAAACTTCTTTATAACATAGTGGTTACCTGCCTTAAAGAAAGACATAATTACAAAACAAGACGCCAGTTTCAAACTGTGCATAGGACCAGTGCTTGTGTGTTTAAGGCAATTAAAAGATTTATTGAGTCTTGGTTAAAAGGAGATTGACAGTCATGTTATAGAAGGATGGGAAGTTTATTTGGTGCTATTCTGCATGGCTAGAGGTACAAATCATCTCAGATACAATGTAGTTTCAATCACAGCTCAAACACAAAATAACTAGCAAAATCACAGGCCCACCTTCAATATACAATGATTATGTTTTTAAAAGAAAGAAAGAAATCCAACAATTAATATTGTTAAGGTGCGATAACTTTTGAATAAAATATTAGCACCATAGCAGGAAAAATGATCTGAGACTGTTGGCCACCTTTTTCTTATGTAACTAAATAGAAACATTTTTTTTTCCCAGAGCAACAAATATTAATTTTCAAAATCAGTTCTAGAGTAGTTAATATGTCTTCCTCTACTTGCTTTTCAAAATGTTTGCATCGTTCCCCTGTAAGGAAAAATATGAAGTATTTTTCACAGGATGTGAAAACTGAAGATATCTGAGCTGACCAAGCCCGGTGCTTCAGCAGTGGGTCCCCACAGAAGCAAAAGTGGACATCTCTCTGCGGATCGTGCTGAAGGGCGACAGCTCCAGCTCTGTGGTGTACTCATTGTCGTTGTCATCACTGGTCACAGTGGACGACTTCTGAATGCACTCCTCGCAGCAGCAGCAGCAACACTCCATGAAGGCCCTGCTGAAGGGTCTGCAGAGGCAGAAGAGGAGCACGGGGGTGACACAGGACTTGAAGAACAAGAGGAACTGGCTGATGATGTTGAGGAGGTCCATGGTCTGCTGTGAGACGCCCGTGGCCATGTAGGCGGTGACGATGTTGCAGATATTCTCGGGGATGATGCAAAACCCATATAAAATGGTTAGGGCCACCACCGTGCAGTTCATCTGGCTCTCCAGATGGATCTGCCGCTTGTTCCCACGGGTACTGGCCTTCTCTGCTTTGCGGATCTTCCGCGCAGTCACCAGAGAGCAGGTGATGGTGAAGAGTGTGGGCAGACAAAAGTAGCAGCCAAAGTACCACCAGAGCCTTGCGCCATCGTAAGTGAGAGCCAAAACATAGATGGTGTCCGGTAAATCGGGAGAGATCTTTATGACACACCGTTCTGCAGGGACCTGGCCACTGAAGCCCAGATCCTCCTTGCTCAGCTGGCGGAGGACAACTTCCGGAAGTGCCAACAGCAAAGCGCCAACCCAGATAACTGCGAGTTTGGCAGTGGTGGAAGAACAATTTTCGATCATTTCGTAGTACATCTGGACGTTGGTGGCAGCCCGGAAGCGATCTATGCACAGTGCGCATAAGGTGAAAGTAGTGACGCCCAGAGAAGCCACCTGTGGGGGACACAGAATGCACAGGTTCTGAGAGATCATAGCACTGGATAATCAAAACAGAAGTCAGGGACAGCAGGGGAGGGGAGGAGAGGGCAAAGTAGAAGAGGGCTTGGGAGAGGAGGAGAGGGGAGGAACAGGACAGGGGAGGGCAGAGAACTGGAAGTGGGGGGAGCAGAAGGCTGGGGAGGCGGAGGGGAAACTGGAACAATCGCTTAGTTAAATCATTTGAGTTTGATAAAAAGAAAACTTGTAATATTCTTGAGATGATGCACATACACACACACACACACACACACACACACACACACACACACACACACACACACACACACACCAAGGAGAGGGCTAGCAGGGAGAGCTGGGAACTTCTAGAAAAGTCATCAAGTTCTGTGTGGTTTTTCTGTCACAGATAAGAACCTCTGGAGGCTGAAAAGAGTTTCAGCCACTGTGAAAATGCCAGCCATCAGGACATCTAGATAAATAGCAGAGACTGGCTTGTGTCTCATTTTTATCATTTCAAAGGATGGTCATGTTTTCCCAGGTGGGACTCCGGCTGGGCTGCCTCACACAGCCAGTGCTTCTGAGCTGATTGTTTCTCCCAAGCTCCTTGATTCAGAAATATTACCCCAATGTTTCCCAAACACAAAATAAGGAATATTTTCTGTTCTTTTCTGCAAAACAATAAAGAGACACTCTCCAGGGACCAAAATCGATGAGAAAATAAAATTTCAAGTCAGTCACTAACTCCCCCTTTTCTCCTTGGGGATTCCCAAAGTTTTGGTGCTGAGTGCTAGGAGTATAGATGCACACGGATAGAAGGTAAAGTTAGGACCAACGGAAGTAAGTGCACTGAGACTATGGCATAGTACGCGCTTGCCTCCAAGCCTGGTGACCTCAGATTGATCCCCAGATCTCACTTTCTGCAGGGACCTGACATTTGCAAATGGTCCCCTGATTTCTGCTTGTGTGCACTCTGCTGCATACATGTGTACACACACTAGATAAATAAGCAAGCAAATAAATAAATGTAATTTTTAAGTGGGTAAGGATTGGAGCAAAGATTCCTTTATGAGTGTAAAGGGGAGAAAATCAACAGATATTGGTGAAACTTTGCATGATAACATGGCATCGTGGGAATCAGGGTAAATTGGCAGTAGTGGTGCCGGGCTGTCAGACTGGAACCAAGAGTTCAACCTACATGTCATGAAGGCTAGAATTTTCACCAATCTTTTGGGCTGGAAAAATTCAAAATAGAATTTAATGTAATTAAAGACACCTTATAGAGACAAGTATAAGTCCTCTCTTGAAGGGCTCAAAGAAGTCATGTAGATAATGGAAATATGAGTTAACAAAAATCAAAGTCACAATATACAAAAACACAGCTACCTCCATGGGCTCATTTGCACATAATAAACCAAAAATTACATCTGTAATGAAAAAGTATACTCAAAGAAAAATATCCATTAAAATGAAAAGAAATACGAGATGCCTAAATAAGGCAAAAGTATATATAAAATAACCATGAAAAATATGTAGAGGAACCAAAAAGGTGTCTTATTCTAACTACAGGAAACACTCATATTGGGAAAACGTTTGACAGATAGGTTATCATATCCAAAAAATTCATTGCTCTTGTGTGTGCAAGGTCAGATATCCAAATAATTCAATAGTTTGAGCTTGATTAGAAACGTGTCCTTGCAAGCTTTTCCAGGAGTGTATGTTCCTAATCAAAATATACTGTGATAGTTAATTTTGAGTGGACGGATAAGAAATGTCTACAGCACCCAGGAAACACACTTTGGTTGTGTCTGTGTTCAGATGGCTGGATCCTGAGGACTCTAACCAATTATGAGTTGAACCCATCATGATGCCTTGAACCTTAGTTTGGCTCAATAGGTGATGACTTTGTTAACAGGTGGTGACAGGTAAGAGAAAGGTCAAGGTTAAGAGAGAGTAAGTCATTGGAGGGAACGTCCTTAGAGCTTTGTCTCCTCTAGATGCTGTCCTTTACCTTTTTTCTTTGCTTCAGTCTGTCAAGAGGTGAAATAAGGAGGGTCTCCCCAAGCCTCTGCCACAGGCTGCCACATGCATGATGCTCTGCTTAAGCCTCCACTGTGAATCTTTGCCCAAGCACCCAAAGACAAACCTATGAAACCATGAGTCCTTCCTTAACTTAAAAGTTTTGGCCACAGTGATGCAAAAAGAACCAAGACACGAACTGTCACTTGTCTGCAATATATTCCTTAAGCTTCAGGCATATTCTAGTGAAGCCAATGCATGTATGTATTTGCTGATACCAACACTAAGCCAAGCACTGTGCTCCTTACTAAAGATTTAGAAGGGAACAAACAACTGTTCCTCCAGTTCACAGTCAGCCAAGAGAGGTAGAACAATCCTAAAGTTACAAGCACAGAATTTACCTACATATTTGTTGGGGAATGTGTAAGCAATTTTGAGTTCAATGAATATGATTTGGATTTTTAAAAAACAACAATAAATTTTTTTAAAAAAGTGTTGATGCTTTAGAAAGAAAAGTCTTCAGGTAGATAAAATGCTTTGAGCTTTGCCCCAGAAACTGAGTTAAGTGCTGTTGTTTCCATGCCTGTTGAAGAGAAAATTTTAAAACATACTTATTTATCATGGCTTGGCAGAAAAGAACAAGGAAATTACAAGTATAATATTCGTATCAGGTTTTTGGAGCCCAATAGGACCATGATAGCAAAACCATTATAATGCTCTGACATTTGTTGTTTATCTACCACATTCAAGCTGCTGCTGTCCCCAGAGCTATGCCAACCTGTTTTGTAGGTTCTCTCCAATATGCTTTCTTCTTCCCACACATGACACATCACACAGCATCCCTAAGATCTAATATGAAATGTTTTCACAGCCTATCTCATGACTACTCTTACTATTAATGGTGAAAATGACCTTAAAACAGGATATAACATTTTAACTGCAAATGCTTGTAAAAGGCAAGAAAATTTACAATAAACTCTGAACAAGTCAGATAAAGAGCTTATCATTGCGCTTATGGCCATAATTCTTCAAGTCCTTTTCAAAATCCTTCCAAATACCCATACAAGAAACATCAGTCTTTTATAGATGGGAAAATGAAAAGCCATCTTGTAAAAATTAACATCCAAATATGGGAAGACTTGGAGGGAGGCAGAGGGTCAAGAGTGATGTAGGTGCTCATTTGTAAGTATCTCAAACAATTCAGAAATAAATAACAAAGAGAAAAGTCAATCCTCTTGATGGATATTTGCTACTCATTTCAACTCTAAATGCTAAACAATTTTGCAACCCAGGTCCGCATTGCATTATTGTTTTCTAATGAGGCATTTTTAAATGTCAGTAACCACACTTGGAGGGAATTTTAAGAGGAACTGTTGCTATCTAAGGGTCTCCATTAAACAATATCATGTGAAAACTACAGTACTTTGCAAATTATTTTCCAATTTTTGTATTTAAGTTTTGAAGTATTTTGATTTACTTGTTTTAAGAATGTAAACTGAAGAAACCCTCAGGCGCTCAGGGTATCAGCCAATCCTCCCAAGAGTCCCTGTGTAGTCTCGCTAACAAAAATGTTTGTGCATGGTTCTCTGTCTCAATGTCACAAATATTCAGAGTCCATGCACAAATATGAAGCCCCTAGGGTTTTTATGCTGCAAATATTTTTAAAATGATGAATAGTTCTTGTGATAAAAGGAAGTCTTGGCAACATAGATACCAGTGACTGAGAAGATGCAGCACACCTACTGGTTAGTAGGTTTCTTTCATTACTTACAAAGAACACACAATGTAAAATGGATAGCATATTCTTTCCCTCTTTCTTAGTTCAGAGAGTTCTAAACTCTCAACCACGTGTTACAAGTGCTAGTGTCTAACTCTGAGTCATTTACAGATCATTAACTAAGAAGTAGTTGCAAATGCATGTGGGAAGACAAGTATTCAATTGGAGTGGTAGATTGCCAGAGACTGGGGAAGCTGCCTCCTAATGTGAACATGCTTCCCATCAGGAAAAAAAAAATCAAAACAATTACAGGTTCCATACATTGCATCTCACAACAAATATCAGGACAAATTTTAAGCCAGATTTGCATGGGCTCCATCTCTTTGTCCACTAATTCTTTTACTGTATCTGACAGGCAGATAGAAACATTCCCAAAGTTTCACTATCAGGTTAGAATCTCAAATTCATTGATCTTCTGTGGTTGTTATGTGAAATCATAGAGATCATTCCAGGTATCATGTACAAAAGACTTTGTATCAAACTTCTTATTTACAAATCATCCTTCTCTCTGATAGCACACTCTGCAACTAAGACCCAGCAGAAATACCTTGAACCCAGAAAGGTCACAAGAGTATCAGAAAGCGTTATTGAAGGAGACAGTAGGGAAAGCTATGCTATCCCAAATGCTGATAGCCCTTGCAATGTAGTTGCCAACAGCAACTGCAATCAAAATGTCAGTTTTAGACCTCATTGCTCTCCCGCTGCCACCATCCATACAGCACTATTACATCAGATACTCTCTGAAAATTCACTCATGCACTAAATTTTATGATGTGAAAGAAAAAAGAAATGTGTAAAACGCTCTGCTAAGTAACTGCCCAGACTATTTATAGAAGGTTTTAGCGCATGTAAAGATTGAGCTGTTTATCGCAGAGACAAATTGATAAAAATCATCAGAATAAGTAGCATTGGCCCAGTTTCTGCATACTCATACATTAAATCTACCTATGTAATTAAAAGTGACTAAATGCTAAGATGACATGGAAAGATCACTATTACAATTTTAAACATACTTGTCTACCTACAACTTATTAAAAATTCTATGAAGATGAATAGTGCAATTCCATGCAATTATGAAACTATCATGAACTCTGGATCTTCTGCATATAATGACCATATATGATGGCAAAAATCATTGTGAAGCATGCTCTTTGGAGGAAAGCTGTAAAGCGTTGGCTTAGATAGATAGTTCTTTGGTGAAACA